ATTAGTAGTAATATTATTACAAAAAATAATAATTATTAGCATTATTATTACTATTATTATGATGTTTAATTAATAAATATTTTTTGAAAATTACAAAATCTGTCAAATCTGGTTTTAAACCATATTTAGACATATTCAAAATTATGGAAAATAATTAACTGTGTCAAAAATAACTATCACTTATAACAAGAATAGAAATTATAATAATTAATGGACTGATATTATACATAATATTACATTTATTCATTGTTACCATCATCCCCGTAATCATCTGTCCAACAACCAAGATAAAACACATATTAGTTTAATTCAAAGACATCAACACTTGAGACAGCTGAAGAAAAATATTGGACATCAAAATAATTTTTCCACAAAATTTTCTTAAAATAATTTTTTATTTCCCATGAAGTAAAATTACTTCACTCTATGCTTCACAAAGAAGGATGTCATCACTCTAGCTTATTGTGAAATTCAGCCTCTGGTCTTCCCTTTACCAATGCCATCATAAAACATACAAAAATATAAATGATGCCAATTTTTTGCAAGTAATATTGCATGTAACAACTCCATTTGAGATGAGATTATAAATTTTACTATGACAAAGGCAAAGCTTATGAATATTAATATTCTCATGTTGATGATGCTTCATAACACTCTTGGCGCTTTCAGTCACTTGTCCTAATTAATATTCATGAGTCTCCCTTTTAGTAATTCACTTAGACCTACTGAGCAAGTGTCACATTATGTAATCAATAATGTTTATGAACCGAGTCTAAACTTTAGTAGGATTTGTAGATTCATGCTGTGGTGCAATCAGTTCAGCCATGGCACAACAGAAAAATGCTGAGCAGTGGATGTGCTTCTAGTTAGTATAAGGCTACAGTTTTTATTCAGTATGAAAGGGAACCCAGGTTCATATTTTCAACCTTGCATGTCGTTTAAAAATTAAAAAAACAAGCAAAAACTTGCATAACTTGACTGCCATTTAACTTGACAATCAGTGATCACTATGCTTTTTTATCAGCTCTGACTTTTCAATTATTCCCTTCTTTTGTGTTCCGCGTGACAAAAGTCATATAAATTTAGAGCCACATAAAAAGTGACAGATGATAACAGAAGTTTTGGTTTAAAGCAAATTATCTGCAGAATGTGCAACTGAATTCAGGGCTCCAGTGGTAATATAACACCTGGAAATTGTGAAATTAATAAAATGTTGAAAAGTTATGAAAATTTCCATGGTGAAGTATACATTTTCATAGTTATGCTAAATTCTAAAAATGTTTTTAAAAATCCTTATTAAAAAATCATGATGAAGAGATGGAAATATTTTGGACAAAAGGTGTGGGAACCCTGTGGATTGAGAATGGGTGAATGAGTAATTTCAAGCAAACAATGTTTTAATCATGCAACCTAATTATCCAAGTTACAGGTAATGATTTAGAGATGAATTGCAACATCAACTTAAAATCTGTAAAATCTGAGGAGGAATGTGAACATGTGCTGAGAATATGTTGTGGCCTGTGTGTGTTTCAGGTACAGCTACCAGGGATGAAATGGGTGGACAACCACAAAGGAGTCTTTAATGTAGAGGTGAAGGCAGCCTCCTCAGTTCACACACAGGTAATGGAATAAAATAAAATAAAAATCAGAAAAAGAAAAAATAAATAAATTTAACACATTTTTATATAAGTTCATTCACATACATTTCTCACTTAATGTGTGTAGGATCCACACCTGGATAAATTCTTCACACTTGTATATGTTCTGGAAGAGTACTCCTTCCCTTACCGGCTGAAGGATGTTATAATCACTGAGGCAAACGTGGAGGCGGAGCTGAAGGCCAGCATGGCGGCTCTGAAAGGGGCACTGCTGGACACTTGCGTGCGCTTCCTGCATCAACTTATGAGCAAGCTCATATTGCTAATCGTACACCCTCCTGTCATAGCAGGACAGATCGGTTAGTAACACTGGATCTGGTCACGAATATTACTTGTTACACACAAATTTTTTGGTGTTTGCTTGTGTAATCCATTTCCTCTCATTCCTCCAAATCCAGTAAATCTTGGCCGTGCTGCTTTTGAAGCCATGGCCCTGCTGGTAAACCAGATCCACAAGAACCTGGAGGGAAACCAGGACCATCATGGCCGCAACAATCTGCTGTCCTCCTATATCCACTACTGCTTCCACCTGCCCACAACAGAGCCTGTATCTCCCCCTGCTGGTGAGTGAGAAATACAGCTCACAAAGCACAAAAATATGTCATGTTAAAGTGTGAGATTTGAGAGATACATAATGCAAAACATCCTTCATGGAAGAAGTAAAATAGTCAGGGTTTGGAATAATTTGGAAGTGACTAAGTCTTGAAAATGCCCTTTCGTGTGCCTTTGAGTTATTGAACTGTTGCTAAAACTGTAAACATTATTTAACCTTTAAACTGTGCTGATTAGTTTCTCTGGGGCTCAGTGTTTATCTATTGTAGTAACTGCTTCACTCACATTTATACTCACTCTCATTTGATCTCAAGAGCAGAATGGTTATTTATGTTCATACACTGAGTGCATCCCACTTCCTCCTTCAGTGGGACTTGCATCGTATGATCTCCCCATCCAGTATGCCACGCTCTCTAGGGCAACGGCAAGACCCAGCAGCCTGCTCTTGTCCCGCTCCAAGAGCATTAGTAACTCCAACCCCGACCTGGCCTCAACACCAGCCACCCCTGACGAGGAGGTGCAGAGAATCATCGGCAGCAAGGTGGGTGGCTCTTCCTCTGGCTTCTGATTGGTTGTTCAAGTTACTGCAGTGTGACCACTCTATCCAGTGTTGTTTTCTACTTGGACTAGGGAGCTACAAGGAACAGAGTATTAAAAGAAGCACTTTGAGTGATAGTTGCTGTTATTGTTGTTGTCTTTTAAACAGTCAGTTTCTGTTTTCTCTTTTGTTGGTGAAAATCTGGGGGGAAAACTAATCAAGTAAAATCAAATCTAATAATGAAGAATCAGATATTTCACAACAAATTGGATTAACTAATCAGTGACATTGCTTTGCAAAACAAAGCTATTTCTATTAAAAATAAATGCTGAAAAAATTGCATTTTTGTTTGATTGTGAAATTAACAGATTAAAACTGTTTCATCAAAATCGTTAAATAGTTAGTTGCTGTCCCTACTCTTACTGTCGTGTGCTGGAGCTTCAGGCTCAGAGATTGACTGTGAGATGTTTTCTGTGGCAGCTGTTGATTGCTCTGCTAATAATTGTGCTTATTTTTTGCTGTGGTACTGCTGTTCCTACCCTCTCCCCTCTTTCACTGTGCCACTGACTTGTCCCCCACCCTCCTCTAAATTAATTATTGTTCCTGCACTTCGTCCCCTCCCTGTGGCACCTGTATGTGGCTGTTCTGCATTCACCTGTGTTGCACTGTGGTGTGTGTTTGTGTCGTCGGTGGATAAGCAGGGGATAGACCGCTCACATTCCTGGGTAAACTCTGCTTACGCTCCAGGGGGCTCAAGGGCTGTGCTCCGTCGGAACCCCAACTCCAGCTGTGAGCTCAAGCAGGTGCCAGTCAAACCCTACACCCTAATGTCCCTCCCTACTGCCTCAAACCATACGCCATAATATAACCTGTAACTGCCTCAGACCCTTTTACCCCACATCAACCCTTAGCCATAACATTATTTGTTACCATCTCAAACTCTACAACCTAATACTCTCTGAAAACATACAACTTAACATGATCTGTTATGGTCTTAGCCTCAACGCAGCTTGTTACCATCTCGAACCTTTAAACCTAACATTACTTGTTACTTTATCAAACCTTTAACCCTAACATTGCTTGTCACTTTATCAAACTTTTAACCCTAACATTGCTTTTTACTTTATCAAACCTTTAACAGAAGTAATACTTTTAACCATAACATTCCTTATCACTGCCCTAACCCTAACATTGCATGTTTCTTTATCAATCCTTTAACCCTAACATTACCTGTTACTGTCTCAACACGTTTAACCATAAGCTTTATTATCACTGTCTCAAACCTTTAATCCTAACATTTCTTCTTTTAACAGTATCATTACTTAATACTGTCTCAACACGTTTAACCATAAGCTTTATTATTACCGTCTCAAACCTTCAACCCTAACATTTCTTGTTACCATCTCATTTAACCCTAACATTACATATTACTGTCTCAAACTTTTAACCATAACATTCTTTATCACCGTCTTAAACCCTTAACATTACTTCTTGCTGTCTCAAATCTTTTATTCAAACATAGTTACTGTCTCAAACCTTTAACCCTAACATTACTAGTTACTGTCTCAAACCTTTAACTCTAACATTACATGTTATGTTCTCAAACATTTAACCTTAAGTTTCATTATCACGGTCTCAAACCTTTAACCCTAACATTACTAGTTACTGTCTCGAACCTTTAACCCTAACATTACTTGTTATTGTCTCAAACACTTAACCCTAACATTACTAGTTACTGTCTCAAACCTTTAACCCTAACATTACTTGTTATTGTCTCAAACACTTAACCCTAACATTACTTGTTACTGTCTCAAACCTTTAACCCTAACATTACTAGTTACTGTCTCAAACCTTTAACCCTAACATTACTTGTTACTGTCTCAAACATTTAGCCATAACATTGCTTTTTACTGTCTCAAACCATTAACCCCTACGTTACTTGTTACTGTCTCAAACCCTTAACAGTAATATTACTTGTTACTGTTTTAATTAACCTAACATTAACTCTCAAAACCTTAACCCTGCCATTTCTTGTCACTGTCTCAAACCTTTAACCCAACATGACTTGTTTTTGTCTTAAACTCTAGCCAAATTTATTTTACTGTCTCCTACACTCAAATTCCCCTCATTCTCAACTTTTATATGCTAAAATGTTGAGTCCCAGTATTTCAGCCCTACACCATATCCTCCTATACGCTCTCATTGCCTTCACTCTGGTATTACTTCTGTAATCATACTCCATAATCTTCTACCAGCTCTTTTGCTGCTGTCCATTTGGCTTTATTCTTATGTATGTGTGTTTATGCCTGAGGATGCGTGATCATTTGTGTAGAAGGTGTGTGTTGTGTGCCTCCTTCTCTTCATCAACCAACTCATCTCTCTTTCCTTTGTGTGCTGTACCTCTCCTGCCCCTGTCAGTCAGAGGAAAACTTGGTTGAAGACTATTTACCAACAATACAACAGTGCCTCGTCTTGCAGTGATGGAACAATAAAACCTAGGTTTACATATGCAATGTTGCACCCAATTCAATTAACTACTACAGTGTCACATCAATATGCTTAGATCCTCCCTTACATTATTTGATTTATTTCGTGCATAGTCAGTTAACCACAAAATAACCCCCTTAAAGATTTCAGACCTCAATCACCCTGTCAGGGTTTATTTTGCATAGATGACCGGCTGACTGTGCATTATCCCTAACATAGCATGGATACCGTTTGATTATTTCGATTTTTTTTAAAGGATCTGGGTTGGTGTATCTAGCAGGCATTGTCTTATCCTCTTCCCTCATTTTCTCTCTTTCTGTCTTCCATTCTTCGTCATCACCTTCATTGTCGTCATCATCATCACCACCAACACCAACCATCACCACCATTGTTCTGTGTTCACTCACTGGTTTGCAGGCCAGTGAGCGTGCCTGTAATCGCATGTCTGCCTTCATCGAGACTGCCTCCATTCTCTGTCCTCCCTCCAGGCAGATCGCCAAGAAGGTAGTGCACATACTCATTTACTCACCCGTGCACTCTCCTGTTCATTCGTTTCTTCATTCACTCATTTATGTACTCACCCATTCATTGAGCCACTTTATCTTGTTCATGCACACGTATCACTATTATTTCAAAGTAATCTGCCTTCATTGTGCATGTGTGTGCTTGTTCTCTATGTATATTTTGTAAAAATGCTCTGCGTTCAGTTACTTCATGAAGAGTTGGCTCTCCAGTGGGTGGTGAGCTCCAGTACCGTGAGAGAGGCGTCTCTGCAGCAGGCCTGGTTCTTCTTCCAGCTCATGGTCAGTTGACCTCCAACCTTTTACATTTACATCAATAACTGAACTCAAGTCACATTTATTTCTGTAGCTCTTAATATAATGCAGATTATTTCAGAGCAGCTTTACAGTAATAAAAGAGGTAATAAATGTAGACCTAAATGTTGTAAAATTTATAATTTAAACTGTAAAGCAGCTCTACAGAGGACAATGGTGTCATTATTCAGCTCAATTTAGTTCAATATCAGTGTCACTGTTGCAAAGTTCATTGTATGAAATGAAATGAACTCAATTCAACTATAAAGCAGCTACAAAAGACAATAGTGCCATTATTCAGCTCAAGTCAATGTTGATTCAGTTCAGTAACAGTATCAGTGTTGCAAAGTTCGTGTCATTATCCAGCTCAATTCAGTTCTCATCTGATAGTGTTAGTACAGTCCAATCGATAATAATACTGAATATTATGGAGCCCCGCACATGACATGGAGGAAAAAAATTGCAAATCGTGCACATGACATCATAATTTGTTACCTAATTAAATTAAATTGTGTGCACAATATAAGAATTCGTTCCCTCATTTTGCGAAATCGTGGCCACATTTTTGTTAAATCATATTGAGGGAACAAATTATTATATTGTGTGTATGATTTACTTGAAACGAGGGAATGAGTTTAGTAAAATGAGAGAACAAATTATCATGTTGTGCACACGATTTACTGATTTCACTTGCATGTCACATGCGGGGCTCTGTAGAATATAAATTGTTTTTTAAATGTCTTTGAAAGGGATAGTTCACCCAAAATAAAAATGCTGTCATTTACTCACCATCATGTCATTTAAAAAAAAAAATTCATTTTTGGGTGAACTGTCCCTTTAATAGTTCCACATATAGTAATGACTGTATATGACTGAATTATTTTTGATGACTTCTAGACATGTAGGTTTTTAAAAACCTAGTGTTTGGTGAGTTTTGTAAGGCAGAATCATAGCTTCAGATGGTATCACTTATTTTCCTGTGTGTGATAACAGGTGAAGAGCATGTCCCATCATCTGTTCCTGTCCTCACGCCTGGACATGCCCCGACGCCAGCGCTTCCCAGACCGCTTTGTGGATGACATTGCTGCCTTAGTGTGTGCCATCAGTGCAGACATAGCCAGCAGATATCACAAGGTAAAAGAGCAGCAGATCTCCTTTTACTGTTGGAGGAACACAGACCTTATGTAGATATGGGGATGTTTGAGACTTTATGGTGGTTTCTATTCCGTTTTATGACTGTTAACTGTTGTTATGAATCAACAGGAAGCATGCTTATCTTTGTCTAAACCAATATCTGTGTGCGTTTCAGGATGTCGAGCTAGTGGAGAGGTTAAACAGCAGCTTGGCCTTTTTCCTCAATGACCTGCTGTCTCTCATGGACAGAGGCTTTGTTTTCAACCTCGTCCGCTCATATTATAAACAGGTACATGCACAAAAACACACAAGCACACATTTTAAAATGCTCCCAGTGTGCTTGATTATAGCGTAGTCTGAATATATGATTGGTTATGATGCTCTTCTCCAGAATTTGGTCATCATATGATGAATTTCTGCTGTCATGATCACTAGACTTTGTACACATAAACTATAAAAAGCCTTATTTACATAAGAAGGAGGTGTGTTTGCACCAAAAACAATACATTTAAATTCTTATACTAGCGCACAGTGCCTGGTTTACATGGATTGCAAGTGGTTTAGTGAACGAGACACATGCAGATGAGGCACAGCTGTGAATTCATCCTAGAACCTTTAGTGACAAATGACAGTTTGGTGCATTTGTGTCTTCAGATTAATAAGCTCCACACAGCGCAGAACCCCAGCTCTCTGACAGCGCTGAGGATGGACTTCATACGGATCGTCTGTAGTCACGAGCACTACGTCACCCTGAACCTGCCCTGCGCCACCCTCAGCCCCCCCGCATCGCCCTCACCCTCCACATCCTCCACCACCTCTCAGGTACACACACACGCACTCTAACTCTCTCTTTAGTGTCAAAAGATCCTTCAAAATTCATTCGAATGTGCTGATTTGCTGCTCAAGAAACATTTCTTATTATCAGTGTTAAAAATAGTTGTGCTGCTTAATATTTTGTGGAAACCATGATACATGTTTTTTAGGATTCTTTGATGAATAGAAAGTTCAACGAACAGCATTTATTTGAAATAGGAATCTTTTGTAACATTATAAATGTCTTTTATTGCAGAATGCAGAAAAGCTTACTAAGCCCAAGCTTTTGAAGAATAGTGTTAGTACTTTAACAAAAATGTACAATTTGTTAATTACAATATATTGATTATTAATAAGCATACTTAAAGGGATAGTTCACCCAAAAATGAGAATGTGATGTTTATCTGCTTACCCCCAGGGCATCCAAGATGTAGGTGACTTTGTTTCTTCAGTAGAACACAAACAAAGATTTTTAACTCAAACCGTTGATGGCAGTCATATAATGGAGGTGAATGGGAATCATGGCTTTGAGAGTCAAAAAAACATACACAAAACCAGATTAAACCCTGCGGCTCGTGACAATACATTGATGTGAAAAGACACGAAATGATCGGTCTGTGCAAGAAACTTGGGAATCACGGCACCATTGACACTCTAGCTACAATCTCAATTACGAGTGTCAATGGTGCATTTGAGAGATAGGTGGCGGTAATGCACTTATAAGTCTGCGATCTGCCGTAAAGCAAGAAGAAGAAGAAGATGCGTCACGCGCAGGCTGAAGAAGAAGACGCGAATGCGCTCAGGACAGTTCGGACATTGCAGTAAATCAGAGGTAAAAAAAACGATATAAATACTGTTCAGTTTCTTGTACAGACTGATCTTTCGTGTCTTTTCACATCAATGTATCGTCACGAGCCACAGGGTTTAATTTGGTTTTGTTTGTGTATGTTTTTTTACTCTCAAAGCCGTGATTCCCATTCACCTCCATTATAAGACTGACAGACTGCAACGGTTTGAGTTAAAAATCTTCGTTTGTGTTCTACTGAGGAAACAAAGTCACCTACATCTTGGATGCCCTGGGGGTAAGCAGATAAACATCAAATTTTCATTTTTGGGTGAACTTAAGCAGATTTACTTTACTCCTCAAGCTTGATAAGTTCAGTTTTCTGGGATGTGGTTCTCTCTACAGTGCTGTAGAGTTTCCTGATTTGTTTGTAATTGTGCGTTGGAGAGTTTCTCGCTGTAGAGTTTAAAACCTGTTTAAAACCTGTCATGATGGATGTTATGTTTCTGTCTGCTGTCTGTCTGCCATACAACCACATTATATCAAGCTGGACACACTCAGTGGAATCCTCTTAGGAACTGAATTGCACTTCACTTTATTATGGCAATGGTGAAGCAGACATTTCTGTGTTCTCTTGTAGAGCTCAGCGTTCTCCTCTCATGTTCTGGATCAGGGTGTGGTCAGCATGTTCGAACTGTCGGTGCCGTTCCGCCAGCAGCATTTTCTTTCTGGTCTGCTTTTGGCTGAACTGTCACTCATCCTCGAGCCAGATGGAGAGGGGTGAGAAACGTTCCTACGCTCGCACACTCAAGTATTTTACTAGCGATACACAGACATTTTCAGCTTAAGTCAGTAGCTGATTTCTTTCATCTTATGGTCAATAAATATAGGCTAATATTGATTTATAATATACACAATTAAACAAATCTGTTTGTAAAAATTCCCAAAATTTTAGAAATCAGTACCAATACTGGTGAAATTTCATAGTTCACAATGCCAATTTTGATACCATAGTTAAAGGCTGAAATACATTACTGTACATGAGTTTTGCCTGATGTTTTTTGTCCCGATTTGCAATCTGGAGTCAATGCTATTTGCTGAAAGTCAAAGTCAGTCTGCGGATTTTGAGCAGATTTCACAGAAAATCACGTAGTGTATAATGAGCATAGACAAACATTTTTTTTTTTTTAGCTTCAGACTGTGATTCCATCCAATATGAGGATATCAGTCATGTTTGATATTTTAAGACAATTTTAGAACACATTGTTCTATGTAATTCGTTTTTTGTATGATGCTCGGTTGTTCTCTGTAACCATTTACAAAGTCGACAAGTGTATGATGTCTAGTGTTTCAAAATCTGTTCAAATAAAATCTGTTTAGTGTATTCCAGCCATAAAGGACATATGCTGATGCACTCCTTTGTTATGCTGACACTCTTTTGTTTAAAAAGTTAAATATTAATATGAATATTAATGGTATTAAATTAAATCAATAACATGTAACCTTCAAATATTTCTCTGGGAAGGAAATATTTGTTCAGCTTTGTCTAATTACAAATTAATGAATTGTTTTTGAAGTATTAGCATGTTTTACCATGTTTGAAGCCATTTAGTTTTAAATTTCGCTCTTAAATTAGCACAGAAAAAAGCTTTGAACTGCTTTTATAAATAAGATTCCAACACCTCAAATCATATCTCACACCTCTTTCTGTCTTTCTCAGTGTGTTCTTCCTACACAAGAAGACCATTAGTGCGCTGCATTCTCTGCTGTGCAGTCACGACGCGGACCCCCGCTACACAGACTCCCAGGTCCGCTCCCACATCGCCCAGCTCTACCTGCCACTCATCCCCATCGTCATGGAGACACTGGCCCAGCTTCACGACTTCACCGGTTAGTGAGACCCTGTGAGCCGAGCGCCCACAGTAGAGCAGACTGCTTATCTCTTCGGTTATTTATATAAACTCTTTGTTTATGAGTTGAATAGTCTTTCAAAGGTCAGAGCTCCACAGAGTCATTAAAAACTGAACAAAAGTCCCATTTCAGCCGAGATCTGTATCTCTCCACCTTTGTATGTCCCAGACACGTCCCCACAGCGTGTACGTCACGCCTCGGCGCTCGTCGACGATAACGACCCAGACAACAGCACCATCAGCCAGTCTGTTGCCATGGCGATAGCTGGCTCACCACTCCCCCATTCCAAAGCCAACCCCTTCACTCTGCCTTCAGTGGTGAGTACCTGCTCACTGACCACTATTAATAACTCATGTTACGAATATGAATGAAGGTTGTGAATTTTTACATTTTTGAACTCTAATGTATATTTAGGTTAATGTTTTTGAAAGAAGTCTCTTATGGATGCATTTATTTGATCAAAAATACAGTAATATTGTGAAATCCTATCACAATTTCAAATAACTATTTTCTAGTTTAATATTTTGTAAAATGCCATTTAGTCATGAGATGAATTTTCATCAGCCATTACTACAGTCTTGTCAGTGTCACATGATCCTTCAGAAATCATTCTAATAGGCTGATTTGCTGCTCAAGAAACCTTTATTATTATCATCAATGTTGAAACCAGTTGTGCTGCTTATTTCTATGGAAACTTTTTTTTTTATCAATAGAAAGTTAAAAAGAACGGCACTTAATATTTTGTAACATAATAATGTAACTTTTGTCAATTTAATGCATTCTTCTTGAATAAAAGTATTAATTTCTTTCAAAAAATATTACTGACACCAAATTTTGAGAACTGTGGCAGTGACCCATTCATATTAAGCCTTGGTGCTCATACAGATAATGCAGGTTCAATTCTGGCCTGCAACATGCCCTGGTCCTATTCCCTTCATCATTTTAAAGTACTTTCATCTTTATCTAAAGCCCCAAAATAAGAAAATTCTGGCCTGCAACATGCCCTGGTCCTATTCCCTTAATCATTTTAAAGTACTTTCATCTTTATCTAAAGCCCCAAAATAAGAAAATTCTGGCCTGCAACATGCCCTGGTCCTATTCCCTTAATCATTTTAAAGTACTTTCATCTTTATCTAAAGCCCCAAAATAAGAAAATATTTTTCTTACTTTTTAGAAATAAGCTATATTTATGCACATAAATGTTCTACATATTTTCCCCATGCTGTTGCTCTAGTGGAATAAATAGAAAGGGTAAACAACAGAAATAGAGTTACTTGTCATACATAGTGCATGGACTTTTGGAATTTTCCCTCACAGCTGCATTATCTTAATAGCACCACTAGAGGAGCCCTTCATATTCACTTCTGTCCATTCTGTTGGCAGCAGTACTGCTCTCCACCACTAGAGGGGTGTACTCTCTGCTCTGACGGTGTACAACAGGGTTTCCTGGTTATTAGTAAATATTAATGGCTTGTGTATGGCTGAGGAAATGAGGATCATGTTTGTCTAAGTGTTTATTATACATATGGGTGTGTAAGGACATCCTCTGTATATGTCTGTCCCAAACAGGCTGCCGGATGTGGTCTAAGCAGGTTGGCTTTGTTGTGTTTTGTCTGTATGAGTGTATTTGTGTAGTGCAAATGTGTTTTTGTTATTTTTCTTCGTCAGGCTGGCCGTCAGTGTAGCACCCTCTCTGCAGAGTGCAGCAGGACGCTGCTGGTTTGTTTTCTGTGGGTGTTGAAGAATGCAGACGCAGGGTTGTTGGAGCGCTGGGTCTCAGACCTGTCTGTGCCACAAATAAACCGCTTGCTTGATCTTCTTCACCTCTGTCTGTCCTGTTTCGAATACAAGGTACATCCACATGCCCTTCTCAAGTAATGACTCTTTGATATTTAGAAACATGGCCCATCCAGTCACAGTGAGATAGTAGGATTGATCCTGTTTTATCTTAAATACCAAAGGAGCAATAAGAGTAAAATGCAGGCCAATCAAACATCATGTTGCACTTGACACTTTGTATATTCTCCCAAAGGATATGCATATCCTTCCGAACACTTTTTAAAATCTGGAAAAATCAGGGAATTTTACATATTTTAAAGACATTTTCAGGGCTGTATATTATTTATACTAATAGTACCATATTTATTTGCAAGAATTACATTATATTCAATATTTTTTACTGAAATAAATAGTTTAATAAATAATGTTTTAGAACTTGAAAATGCAATATATAAAACATGTTCTCACAGTTTGAGATCTATGCAATCAACTTTCGACTTTTTTTTTTTCCACAATGTAATTATTTACAAAGAGGCTGTGTTGTGCATGTGGCAGTTTAAACCTATATTTGGCTGAACTGAGGGGAAAAATACACTAAAAATATGGCATGACCTCTTTAAAATTCAGAAAAATAACTTGGAACTGGAGTTTTGGAAGTCGCTTCTTATGTTACACCTAGTCCTCTGACACATTCAGGAATTTATACTTTATATTGTGCATTTTTGTGTTGCATGTTAACATGTTTTTGTATATCCTTTTCATTGTGCCTGTTCTCAGGGGAAGAAAGCCCTGCAGAGGATAAACAGTCTGACCTTTAAGAAGTCTCAGGACATGAAGGCCCGTCTGGAGGAGGCCATACTGGGCACCATCGGAGCAAGACAGGAGATGGTCCGTCGCTGCAGAGGTACAACAGGTGCTCTGTTGGTATGTGTGCGAGTAAATGTCAAACCATTGAATTTGTCATTCATCTCTGTTCCTGTGTGTTCCTCAGAGCGCAGTCCTTATGGAGGTCAGGAGAACGTCCGCTGGAGGAAAAACGTCACTCACTGGAGACAGAACGCAGACAGAGTGGACAAGTGTGTCTTTTTTCCTCTTCTCTTACTGAGTATCTTTTCGTTGCTGTTCACGTTCACTGACAACTAAATAATGTTGCTCTAGCTGTCCATTGACTTAATGAAGCACATAATCACACATGTACAGTTGTGTGTGTGTGTGTGTGTGTGTGTGTGTGTCATGGGCACTATGAATAGCT